TGCTTCCCTCGCATGCACAAGGCCCTGGGTTCGATCTCCAGCACCACAAAAAAAAAAAAAAAAAAAAAAAAAGATGAACCCTAAGGATAGGACAGGAACATGGTACAATTGACTACATTACTCCTTCAATTGGTGAGAGCTGAAGTTAAGAAAAAAGTACATTTGGTGGGCTGGGGATGCATGAGGTCCTGGGTTCAATCCCCAAATCCACAAGCAGTAATATGTGTCATGAGCCCAAACACTCCAGGAGGCTGGGGTAAGAGGATTGCAAGTTCAAATCCAGGCTTGGCAACTTAACCAGACTCTGTCTCAAGATAAAATAAAAAGGGCCAACAGTAGAGCTCAGTGGTAGAATGCTTGCCTAATATGTGCAAGGCCTTGGAGTCAATCCTCAGTACTACAAAACATAAAGAAACACATAAACAAACTAACTCAATAAAAGGTGGAGAACGAATATCTCATTGCCTCTAACCTATGCTTTTAAGTCTCCTATTTTTGCTTTACCAACTCATCCTACATTACAGATTCAGCTAATGATCTAAATGTGCTACTCAAAACACAGTCTTAATAACTCCCCTTCACTGACAGATTTAAGTTCAAGCTCCTTACCTCAGATGCAAACTCTTCAAAGTAGTAATCTCAACCTGGCTCTCCTAATCTCAACTTCTTCACTGTCCCTTCTAACACAATATAGCTACCTACCTCCTGAGATAAGTCTCCCATCTCCAAACTTCACCCATCTATTTAAGCGTAATTGAAAGTTTCCTCCTCTAAGTGTTTCCAGTGGCATCCCTCCCTTCCTTACACTGTACTTGACAACAAACATGTCCATTCTTCTATATTTTCTATGAAGTATTGTTTTATCTTCTCCCCTACTGCACAGTCTTATTTATCTCTGATTCACTGTCCAAAAACTGCAGGCCTCAGATATCCTGCCCTTAGTGAAATCAGGGTTATGAGCTAGTTTGATTTGTTCTAAGAGTGGATGGCCACCAGCCAAAATAGTTTTTATTTTTAAAATTACTTATGCAGGGCTGGGGATGTGGCTCAAGCGGTAACGCTCGCCTTGCATGCGTGCAGCTGGGATGGATCCTCAGCACCACATACAAACAAAGATGTTGTGTCCGCCGAAAACTGAAAAATAAATATTAAAAAAAAATTCTCTCTCTCTCTCTCAAAAAAAAAAAAAATTACTTATGCAGTGCTGGGTTGTGGCTCAGTGGTAGAGGGCTTGCCTAGCATGTGTGAGGCACTGGGTTTGATTCTCAGCACTGCATATGAATAAATAAATAAAATAAAGGTCCATCAACAACTAAAAATATATATGTATATATTTTTAAAAATTATATATGCAGTCAGGTGTAGTGGTACACACCTATAATCCCAGCAACTCAGGAGGCTGAGGCAAGAGGATCACAAATTGACAAGCCTCAGCAACTTAGTGAGGCCCTGTCTTAAAAATAAAAATTAGGGCTGGAGATGTGGCTCAGCGGTAGCGCGCTCGCCTGGCATGCGTGCGGCCCGGGTTCGATCCTCAGCAGCACATACCAACAAAGATGTTGTGTC